CGCGCAAAATACGAGATGCTTCAGTCCAAAGCAGAATGACAGTATTATACGAAAAAGCGTTACATAGATTTAAAAAATTTCCATTCGCTGCGACTAAAATGTTATGCTGTAATGTTTTTGTTCCGAATATAATCTATCGCAAATTGTAGATGATTAGTGTACTATATGAATGCCAAATGAAAATTCAAATTCAAAATTGCACCGGACTAACAATACGCAATACTTGAATAATTTAATTAATTTAGTCAAACCCCAAAAAAATCATCCACAAGTGGATTAATAATGAATCGTTTAAATGCTTAGCATCCTTAATATATGGTTATCGTAATTAACGTTTTTATAGTATATCAAAAATAATGGTAATGAATTTAGAAGCAGCAATTAATGTATAAATTTTGTCAACGAAAACAAAACAACTCCTGCGAAAAAAATCACAAAGAAAGATATAAAAAAATACGATAGCACCTAAACTTACGAAATAAACTCGCTTGCCTGGTCTTTCATAAGCTACTAAAAATGAAATAAAATTCAATCTTTCGCGGACAAAGTTGAGAAAAGAATACCGTGCAAAGAGAAAAATAAGAACAAAATATCTCTAGAGAAAATAATCCTGCAATAGTCTATTCGAATATGTTCCACATAATACAAACTGAATAAAATAAATAAAGTACATATAAGAACAAAGAATAAAATCTAAAAACTTGTCAACATTTTCAATCCCATTTGTTGAAATATTTGTAGACTACAAAATAAAATCTTGCTAATGAAAACTTCAATCATAAAGACAAAAAATTCAAATAACTACTGAAAAAGGAAGGCTCCATGAAAATATGCCGACTAGCAATAATGAATATATCAGCACAGAAAAGTAACTTGCAAACAGAGATCTAACAAAGATGTAAGAAAAAGTTTCATATTTAAGTGATAAATGGCAAATTTTTGGACGGCATACATCCCTTTTTGAGAATCAGTTGATATCGAGCGACACTCCACCACCTGCATGAGAAATCAAAATTTCTGGCGATGACAACTGACCGGATTCTGAGGAAGCAATGCTGTTGCTGTGAGTAATGTTATTTGAGCACAGATTATTACAAGTTATTTCTTCTAATAACACATCCTGCTTACAGCGTCGCTTATCATAAAACCTGTAAAGATGATAAAATTTATGTGAAAAAGTGAAATAATTCTCAAACCGCACAACATTTAGCTTACATAAACATCTATCTTAGACGTTTGTGGAGAATTAAATCCCTTTGAACACTATCAATCCAAGACTTTTAATCCTTTGAACATTATGAAGCTAAGATTTTTCTTTCCATAATAAATTAACCAAAAAAATTTCACGCTACATATTGTATAAAATAAATGACCGAAGAGAGTTATAAACTGAAACAACATGGTTTAGTGCAAGAAAGGAAAAAAAGCAAGAATTTTTCCTACAATCAAATATATTGAAATTATCTCTGGACAAGTTTGGAGCCAATTACGACATAATTTCGTAAATTACTTACCACCCAGTGTGATGTAGCCTAAAAAACCCTATATATACATTTATGTGTTTATGTGTGTTTACATGGATAATAATGCATGAGAGCATTATCTGGGCCAACTCAGCAAAATTCCAAAAAATTTTTCAGCAGCAACAGAAATATACCTCTGCATGATTCCGCGCAATATACTTCCAGGTAACCGCTGATGTTCTCTAATTAAGTCATGCACCTCTTCTTTCACAGTTTTTTTGACATCTTCTGGATTTATATCAGAAGAAAAATACATAGGTTTGCCCAGATGTGTTCTAAAAGCAGTTGCGGAATAAGTGCATTATGGAAACAGAACTCAAGCTAAGGAGAAAAAAATGTAGATCAAAGAACTGACCAAGAACTAGAAAATAGTTATGTAGCTATGAAATGGGCCACTAATAAAATTATTTGCCGAGGTCTACATTAACGTTGTAATCCTGCAGGGAAAGCTCAACATAAGAATAAACGTCAATAAATTCTCGAAACGCACATCATTTTAACTGGGAAACCACCATATACTGGGCAAAGTGGTAATCGTGTTTTCTCATATATCCATCGAAAAATTTCTGAAATGCATATAAATTACTGACAATTTAATTCGAGTTTCGTACATGCTACAAGAGGGTTCAGTAAATGGTTAACTTAAAATTGAAGGATATAAAATAAAGTAAAATCTTACTTCGTCCACAACGCGGAGTACGGAAAGCATCACGACAATTTTCAGTAAACATCGGAATTACAGGCTAAAAAATATAGTGAAAGGGTAGGAGTGAAACAAAAAAGCAAACAGGATTGATAAACAAATCATACTTATTTCAGAAACATAATATGACGAGTGTATAAAGTAATCATATGGAAAAAAATCAAGTGATAAGCAAAAGACATAATCATTCAATAACCATTCAAATAATACTAGACATAATCATTCAATTAAATACTACTGAAAAAATTTTTCGGATTTCACTGAGGTATGACCTAAAAACTAACCGTTTCTGGACAACCAATGACGACTTTAGCAAAGCCCAGACGACGAGCCCACATGATGTTATAACGAGTGGGGTCAGAAAACAAAGCTTCACGAACACCACCGGGTGCAATGCATAGCAAATGGCCGTCTTTCAACCGTGCCATACAATCTTCTACCGTTCCGGGAGTTATGTAAAAGACCTTACAAATCATTCCCCATCCTAAAAAGATATGTACTGAATTGCAAATATATCAGATCAAGATTAGATTTATAGGACCTGATTAGAGGTTGACATTTGTTATGAATTTAGCTTAAAGCTAAAAAGGGAAGAAAATGAGAAATAAATGAAATACCCGGCATTTTGAAGATGAATTTATCACCAACGCAATGCAGAGTACGTTTCTTATGAAGCATACATTTCGCAATAACATAATATACATCTATTGGTAAAGTTCCGTGGTAATATACAAGTAGAGCAGAACCTTCATTAGGCACATTTTCCAAACCTTTTATTTCATAACCTATAAAAATGAATTATTCATCGAAATGCCTTATAAATAAAGTCATACCCTACTTGATTTTAATAGCTCCATTTTTGTTAATTTGTAGGATTCTTTACCAAGTGTTCTACCGCAGAAAAAGACTCCACGGCTCTGCTGAACCACGAATTATACGAAACAAAAAGACAGCAGAAATACATTATTTCTGAAACGATTATACGACCGTGATCAGCACTTATTATTAAATGGTGATTAGCACTACTAATAAAAAATCTATTCACGTCTGGCCATTTACATATTTATTGAGTGAATCCAACCAAATGTTAGCAAAAATGTACGGAGCATATTTGACCTTATTTATTTAATCATTACAATAGAATGAAGTTCTCCAAAAGAAAAATATTGTTCATTTACCATGCCAGACATATCCTACTGCATCCCAGAAAGATGCAATACTGATGCGTGCACCATCCCATAAACTACTAGCATAAGCCTCTCGAATGCGATTCCGCAAGCCATAAATATGAAGAAAAATAACACAACCATATATAAAAAGAAGAAGAAGGACTGGTAATATGAAAGCGACTAGTAGTGGCAGGAAGAGCCAAATAAGATACTAAAAAACTGGCATTTATCATTAAAGAAACCACTTCATATGTATTTCAAATAAAAATGAAAGGAACTTCTCTCTCTGAAAAATGTGATGTTCAATTTTTACTCTGAAAATAAAAATTCTACAAAAATTCGGTTTCCTTTCTCAACGAAATCCAGAAAAAATAAACTACAGAATACTCAAGATTCTAGCATATAGGATATTCCAGTGCACCTCCAAATAATCCCAATCAACATAATCAATTGCCCATGAAATCCATAACAGTAAGACTTCTACATACGGTTGTAACCATGAAGGCCACTGCATATTTGTCAGTGATAAAAGAGTACCCTTAATCCACATGGACTTCGAAAGATTATTTGTTCCTGAAATTTTAAATATAAACATAATGATAATAAACGATGAGATAATAGATTTAAAAAAATTGAAAACAAAAGATTGAAAAAAAAATCAAACCAGGACACTGTTCTAATAATAAGGATTATCCAAAAGTGCAGTTATAAATGTGTTCTGGTATGTTTATAAATGTATGTTCACATGATAAGCACAGCGCAATCCAAACATGTGCATAAAATGTATTTAAAGTGAAGTTTGCATATTTCTGTGGATGGAGCAAACCTTTTTTTTTCTGCAACGCTTCATAGGGAAATATTTCTAAGATGGTAAGGTTAACCAATTTTTATTCCAATGAAGTTTACAGAAGATTTAAGAAATCTTCTGTAAACTATAAATTATATATTAAATGGTAACCACTCAATAAACGAAGCGCATTTAAATTCATTTTCCCAAGCTCTATATTTATTTTAAAAAATAAAACCAGGACACTGACATCTTGTAATAAGAATGATATAAAGTGTATGAAACTAAAAAATCTTATTTTCTATTTCCAGTACACTGCAATATACCGAGATACTGAAAATCTCTTTGTTGTAACCACAACGGCGCCACTGAGTATAACAGAATCCATGTAAGTCATGGAAGTACTTTCAGCAAATTACACCATCAGTCGGAAACTTCCTTTCGATAAAACTGAATAGCTTATGCAATCATACCATTAAAACCATTTCAACCGACACATACGTCAGAAATACGTTAGAAAACAGCAAAAATTTTCAGCAAACCATTCAAAACTACACGAAAAGGATCATTATGAAGAGCCAACACTTTGCTATAACGTTCTGCCGCTTTCTAGTCTCCAATATTTCAGCCAGATCTCGTGCAAAACACAGCTAATTTTGTCTTTAGAAATAGCCTTAACACCCAAAATGTTATCATCTCACCTCTACGAAAACCACTATGTATTTCTCCTTCGTGAAATGCAAACCAAAACTACTTAACTTATTTCAACAAAGATAAAATATATTATTATTAAATTTATGGTATTATTATTAAATTATTATTAAATCTAAAGCAGAAAACCCGCTACTATTTAGAAATAAGGGTATAAAATAACAGTAGATATGTTTTATTTTTTCAGGAATATAAAATCATGAATTTACAGTCTTCGCAGTATTTCCACAGCTAGGACTTAATAGCGGTGGAACTTCAGATTCTGCGCTCTACTGGATAAGAACCATCCCAATCCTCTCTTATATACTAATGTACAACAATTCATCAAATTCATGTCTTAGAAAATTTGAAAACCAATCACATTTAATTTACAACAGCTTCTGTGGAACTTCCAAGAAACAAGAAATCTCAGTTTACTTTTCAAGTACTTTATTTAAGGTTTAAACAAAGATTCACTAAACAAAATATACAACAAAAATTAAAGCTAAATTTAAAAAGCAGAAACTCTTTGTGATAACATTTTAGATATTGCTGCATTAAACCAAAATTTAGAAAAACAGAGTTAAATTTACTATTTAAATGTCATTCTACGTGGACAAAAAATGACTACAAAGACCATTCTATATAAAATTATTGAAAAAAGGAATTCGTATTATTCTAAAATAAAAATAGCTAGCCAGATTTCGACTCGCAAATTCCGCAACTAGCGGACCAGGTTCATGAAAATTTTTATTCCACTTTATTTTATGCTTTTAATAAGTTTCAGCTTGCAACTTTATTTTATGCTTTTAATAAGTTTCAGCTCGAGGAAGTAATTTAAAAAAGTGACACTCCACTGCAAATATTAAAGATCGAGAAAAACTCAAAACAGAAATATTTCAAGAGCAAAACTGAAATAGGAAAATTTCTCAATTTCCAAAATGACAACAAAACTGATTAGAAGGCAAAATAGAACAAATATCATCAGACTTGTCAAGAAAGACTAAACTTCCAGACCACTTCCCATTATCGTAAATGACAATGTTATGCCCCGCTTCATCGAGCTCAAGCTCAATTTGCGCGGTCTCAAAGTCTTCACCACCTTCATCACGTTCTGCTCGAACTACCATTATTCCGCCATCACGTTCTCCACAAATTGGGATTCGCAACTGAAGCAGCATGGATTAGGTTATTTGAAAAATTAAATGCTTAAAATCATATTATATTCACATTTCCCTCCATCTAAATTGAGTATATTCAATATTTTGCCTTTTCAACTTCCGTTCTCTGTTGTGAAAAAATACAACAACAAATGGTTTTTTATTAACCTCAGACTTCCGTTCATCGATATAATTCCTTTTTCTATCCACCAAATCAACTTCTCCAACAGTAAGTGGTAGTCCCAAAAATTCGATTGCTTTTTTGTGTTTCGATAACACTGTGAAAGCTCCTCTACAATGATAAATTTAACTGACAAGACAAAGATGATATATGATAAAAGTTTAAAAGTAAAAACAGTAAAAAGTAAAAACAAAAAAGTAAAAGTAAAAACAGTAGAAAGTTTAAAAGTAAAAACAAAGATGACATAAAAGTTTAAAAGTTTAAAAGTTCATAATTTTCTCTGACATGAAGCGTTAGTGCCCAACACTGCAGCAGAAGAATCAAATCTTTACAGTACGGAAAGACACAAGACCATAATATGCTACATTAAACGGTCATATTGGATTATTATATGTTACAAGGTTCACGCACTGAAACATTATCACCTGCTGTATACAACGGCCGGCGATATTTAAGACAATCTTAAACTTATTGAAATTTTAAATTTTTTTTGAAAATTTCTAATCATTTATAGAAACGAAAGCTCTCCAAATACGCCAGGTAGTTTAAATACGTAATTTATTAACAAATATTCATACCTGTAATGAGAGAATTTCCGAATTTTTGCTTGGATTTTCTTCTGCAGATATATATGAGTATATATAAATTGACAGATCAGGATGACAGCTCCACCACTGGCAATATTCGCTACTGTAAGATACCTGCCATTAGACAGCATACGTTTGGCTGGAGAAAAATATTTCGAAATTAATTAGATGAAAGAAAAAAGAAGTAATAAATGACTGTCTGACAATGTCTTCGCTGCATCACAAACAACGAAGCATGACACTCGCAAACAACTCCCACCCCCTTTTCACAAGTACCGATCTCCTCCTCCGAGAAAAATTGCCGAAGATACAAATTTTGTTGCATGCAAATTACGAGTCTCGCATTAAATGTCCAGCATTAAAAGTTCAGTTTTAAGTGCTTATTTTCTTATAACCGATATTTGTTTCAGTGATATACGAGATGCCGAAGAAGCATACAATCTCGAATAAAACAAAGAAGAGAAAAGGAAAAGATATGGATCAGATTATTGAGGAGATGAGGTCAGAGAAGCAACGATGTTTCGCAACTCAGCACGTAAACTTCAATCTCGATTTACCAGGCGAATCTTTATTTTACCTTATTCATGATTCATGTTCCTTCGTTCTCCAGATTTAATTAGTGTAAAAGAAGTAGAAAGCAAATTAAGTTGATTAAATAATGGAATCCCTTATCTTCATACCTCCAACTTTCTACTGCGCTCCTTTGAAGAAGTTGCGAAGTTAATCCTTCATTGATCGCATGAGTGTTATATTTCGCCTGTACATATTTGCAAAATTTGTTCAGGTGATGGGCATTTCTACTGTATCCAATGTGCTCGGTATTTCATCGATGAGAAATCTCTCAGTAGTCATAGGTCAAGTAAAGGTATTGCTGCTTTCAGTCCTTTTAAAAAATCTTTCACATATTTTCTAAACATCCGGACTTTAGAAACTGTAATTATTTGAATGGGAATGATTTCTTTTCAAGTTCATCGACAGCGATTAAAGCGATTACGGGAACCGGCATATACCCAGCGTGAAGCAGAAGAATCTGTTGGATTAAAAACTACAAGCTTTGCTTGAGTGTTGTATACCACTCAATTTGGAAATTTCTCTGTATGCTTGTTTCACGTTCCTGCATACTTTGTTTATTGAGATGCTCTTGATACAAACATTTATATATGTTTCAGTAAATTCAATATATTGAATATTCAACCTCAGCGATGTTTGATGAAACGGTCCAAAGTTCGCCGTCAATGTTCGGCTCTAAAATTTTCCCCCTTAGCATTCCATATAATTACCTCAGATAGGAAGAAACGAAATTAAGGATTTACTCCCACGCAGAACAGTCAACCATGACTGTGGACAATTCCTGATAACACCATGTATCGATCATTACAGATGCCTATTGTCTCTATACAGCTACTAGCCCCCAAAAGATATTGGTATCTGTCTACAAGACAGAATCAAAAAAAGGAACAGTGCCAATATTTCCGAATTGGTTTGTAAAGAGCCTGCTCAGTCTAAAATATGACATTGAAATGATTCAGTCATCGTATTAATCTTGTTAATGTTGCTCTTATCTCCAGATCTTAACCAAATGCAGAACCATGGTTTATGCACCTGGTCGCTTTTATAAGAATTATATTTGCTCCTTTAATATATTAGAAGTAAGCGACAAGGAACAGTTTTTCCTAGTAGACGTCCTTTTCAACCAATTTCAAACTGATCATGGCTCATCAACTTGGAAGCAACAAAGTTATTTCGCCAGTTTCACCGCTTAAATGCATTTGCCAGCTCACTTCACTGTTCCTATTAGCACATAACAGTACACTATTTTAGCCATAATAGCCTTTTTAATTCGAAGTATGAAACTAGAACTCTTTAACCAATCACTGTTACAACGGATCCAGCACATCATTATCATGCAGATTCTCCGTTTATGCTCTAAGCGTTTTTAATGTGAAAAAAGTTCATTACTAATGTTTTCTTAACATTTGCAGTAATAAACTTAGTCATTCCAGAAACTTGAAAGCAACTCTGACTTCGCAGGCACTGAATCCATTTTCGCTTTACAATCTCTTATACTTTTAACTCCTACAAAAGACGTTCAATTGGACAAGCCTTTTTGACTCATATTCGGATCTGTTATTATTTACAAACATTTTTAGAACATTTATCTTAAAAAGAGATTTTTGTTCTTATTTAATAGGAGCATTACCAGTGTTAATTTACACCAAAGTTTTCAATCACTTCCAATTCATATTTTTTTGGATTTGTATCCCTACATCATATTCCCGATTAATTACGGCAGTGCCACAATTTCAACTGTTCTTAGTATCGTTAGCAATCAATCCATCTTCTAAGAGTTCAACTTCTTATCCTTGTAAACATCCGCTTTGGTCCTCCTAATCAAATCTTAGATTTCTAATTTATAGATTAAAAAATGTTAAACACATCGACAAATCAAACCGAGGCACTAAGTTTAAAATTATATGAATCATAGTATGTGAAGACCAATTGTATTCAAGCAAATTACTGCACTAGCAGCCTAGTGCTGTATTTGACCTCGTTCTTGAAGTCTAACAAACAAAATAATCATCGACATCAGTTCAAACACATTGTTTCAAATATGTCCAAAAAATACTGCATGTAGACTTTCGCGGTAGAGGAATGTCTTCATTAAGATTTTATGGATAGAATCCCTTCAATAACGTCGCTATAAAAACTGGCAAATTAAGAAGTACTGAACACTTTTCCTACCAGATGGACTTTAAAAGGTATACAATGTTAAGCGGTCATAAAATGTTAGGACACATAATACAAATGACAATAATGTCACTGTGTTCGCAAAAACATCGACGGCCTTCACTACTTTCATAAGGATTTTTTAAACCCACTGGTGCTCTGCCGTTTTTTATTTGCGAGAGATCCCATTTGGTTAAACTTTAGTTGGTAACGACGTTTTATTTTCCATACTTTGTTTGTATATTTCAATCGCATCTTATATTTCACTTCCTTTGCCGTCATTAAACCGAGTCGTCGAAGAATTGGGAAGCTAAGCTGTATTAACAACAAAGTAGCAGCATAACGAAAGGGAGTAGCGATCTGAAATAAAACATATTTGAGCTCTCACTAATAATTTTCAGATCAAACATATTTTGGTACACGTAATGTAGTGAAATCAGCAATTAAAATTATTTTTAAAATCTCTTCATTGCATTCTATTATACAAACAGTAAATCTTCCAGTTATGATGCGATGTGTTGACTGTATACCGATCCTTTAAAAGAAATGTCACAACGGTCATCGAGCTAGGCTATTCATCTGCGATCTCTCTCTTTCTCTTGGCATATTTATTTAAAGTTTTCTGTGCTTGTAATTAATTTACTGACAACATAGTTAAAGCTCATACCTTGTACAGTAGAAAGGCTACAACAGCAACTCCTGCGTTCGGAGGAACTGATTTTACTCTTTCAACAACATAATTAGGCACATGACATTTCTCCAGCAATGCAACAACATCAAGACCGCTGGAAATGTTTGAAACCACCAATTTAATTTACTAATTGATTTCAATTCTTCAAATTCAATCTGACATAAAAAGCACAAAAATATCTCTTCTGTTTAAGAAAAGACTAACCTTTTGACAGCGACATAAAGGACAATAAACCAAATGACACAGTTTGCAATGTGTATTGGGATAGCGATATACCAGTAGCGCTTCAAATAATATTTCAATTTTGCGAATAATCCTGTAGGTTTTGCTTCCTGCAAAAATAAAACATTTAGGTGAATTTTAGATTCATTAATAGTGGAAAACGATGAGAAATTGACTCATACCCTATGCTCCTTTTGGACTGCTTCCTTCGCTTTTATCAGTTTTTCATCATTTTCAGGAAGGGAAGTATCGTACCTCTAAAAAGCATCTTGAATATATATAAATACATGGCACAGTAAAGAAATAAGTAAACTGTTATCCATTTTAGAATTCCAGGATCAGAACCCTTTGTAAATGCAAAAGAACTTTCTTAGTGATAGAAAGTATGCATAAGCAAATTGTGTCCCCAGCAGAATCCGTTCTTTGAAAGCAATTTTTACTTAACAATCAAATTCATTTTTATAAAAATAATATCTCCAAACCGTCCTATTATTCAAGCACATACTGTTTTAGTAGCATGAATAAACCTCCTTCCTTCGTGCAGGATACTCGCATTTAGAACAGGATTTGAGATGGATATACGTACTGAAGTGGTAAATCTTAGACTGGATGAATCGAAAGCAGTCACGGTTTTCTCGTATGGATAATCAGACATTCCGTTTGGCATAACCGACAATTTCAGAAACCTTAGCAAACATTTGTTTTCTAAACTCAGCACACGCGATCGTATCCCTAATGAAACTAACATCCTGCAAATCAGTGAACCGAATGGATATATATGCATCACTACAACACGAACAATTTCCACAGCTCTAAGATTTATGAACTTGTCACGCTATAAAATGCGAAAGCTTGCATAAAAGGGATAATTTTAACCATACCTTTACTAAATTGTAAACAGAACAAATTCTCTTGATAAAAGCATGAAAACGTGAACCATAACAATTAATGTAACAGATAAGGAAGAAAAAAAACCCACACAAATAAGTGTTTAAGCTAAATCTTATTTCATATACTCAAGGTGAAAAACAGTAACAGGAATCACTTTCGTCAATGTTTAGGAATTGAAATCTCAAAAATTCTATAAAGTTGCATAAAATTATAATATGGAAAAAAATTCTCGATTTCCATAAATAAAGCGACAAAAAGTTAATGTCACACAACAGAAACATCGTCTTATCCTTATCACAGTTATCGGTAAAAAGATCATTCAATATTTAAGCCATTAGTTGACTCTTAAAATGATAACCAATATATAAAGCAATCAAAGTAAAAGCCGTAACAACAGTTTCTGATGCAACCGGAGATGATTTTGAGACACCCTAAAACGAATATATTATTCAATTTTATATTTAACAATTGAAGCATTAACCTGAAATCCCGAATGGTCTTCACTGTATTCTCAGCTAATGGATATCGGAAAGTTTAGATTTCCTTGAAATTTTTGTACTTATACTGAAAAAGCAAAATGACGGAAAGGTCTCACCATAACTGAAATCGATTTTCAATGAAGAAACAGAAACATACCGGATGTTTTAATTGGACTGTGAAGAGCGATTTTACTTTGGAGGTATCATCACCGCTCCTTTCCGCCTAAGAAAAATGAAACTCATGCGTACTTTCACTGATGATTTAAATTTCATACTAAAAACAATTCTTACTTCGTATGTACTGAAATTCATGACTTCCTAAAATTGTTTTCGAGAATCGTCCCCACTACTTAGACTTCTGATATCTAAACAATTCTTATACTAAGTGAACTAATATAAAATTTTTATTGCTGTGCTTTAAAACATATTTAACGTCTGAAATAATTTAGTCAAACGGTAATTAAAATCACTGAATCACTGAACCTCAAATAGTTCGAAAGATATTATAAATTAGTATATCCAGTATAAACAAGAAATTCTGAAATCTGTAAGCAGGCAACCCAGGTACCTTGCGATATGCAGTCAAGCCATCTTCATCGTAAATCACTACATCGAATGTTTGAGCCGCCGAGTCGTCATGCTCCAACTGCCAAGATATTTGATGTTTTGATGTTTCTTCAGAGACAGCAGCCTGATATACTTTCCCATTGATGATACCATAAACAGCCATATCCTACAACAGCAATCACTGAAAAATGAACGTTTCCTATTAGAGCTTTAATGTGTTCATGTTCATTTGAAAAAATCAAAAGAAAAAGCAAAAGCTAACCTTGACATTATTGGCGCATTGCAGGTTAAATTCAATAATATAAGTTGTGCTAAAGTGAAAGAAGGCATCAGTCGTTGAGAATGTTACTGCGGAATGATTGGGTGACTCGCACGTGACAGCTAAAACAATTCTATGTAACGATCAAGGTTTAAAATTTAGCAAACACAACCATTATATTTAGACCGAAACAACTCTTGAAAGATATGCTGAAATGTTACATACTAATTTGTGCGCCATGAGCAGTTTAAGACTGAAACAATCATTTTACTTATTTGTTTGAATTTTCATACAAAACGTACCTTCAGTTCCGATCACAAAGGATACCAATATAACAAATTCTCGAATCATTTTGTGTCCTATTAGTGTCTTGTTGAGATTCCCCTACTTGTAAATAATCAAGGATATATAATATTGTTTTATGTTAAAATCATTTGAAAGATAGGCAAACGCAGGCTAACTCATTCGGCGTAACTCAGTTTCTCGAATCTTAGCCAACATCTAAAGCACCGGAAGTTTGCATAATTTAGTGAATTCTTCCAGCCAGTCAGCTTTCCGTGTTAGGTTCGAAAAGGGACGTTTCGAAAAATTGACATTAGCGCAGTGTTTTCTTGGACATTTCAAAAACATGCCCCGCGCCGTTGAACAGAGCTCACTTCACACTCAAGACCACTTACGTAAAAGCCTAAATAAATCCAAATCATTTTCACGGGTATCCACGTTTCCTACAAAACAAGAATTTGTTTACTTTCACATTCTATAATGCAGTCGTCTCGATCTACTCTTTCGTGGGACTTGCCAATCCTCTGCTCTCTCTTCCTCTCTTCTCAACTAACACTCCCTGCAACTCATCTATCTGTATTTGGAATATCGTCATCTTTGTTAGCTGTCAAATTTCGAACACTCTAATCTTTCCATATGATTGTCATTAAATTGAGACTGACTGATTAAATTGACCATATGAAAGCATGTGATTTCCTCGGAGGAGTGATCATGCTTAATAATATGCGAATGAGTAAGATGACAAGGGGAGCGACCTGATCTTATAAGAGAAAGAAAAATTTGGTAGCGATTTGCTGGAGAGCAAAGTTATTGCTTATCACTTTCTACTTTTATGCTCATTGCAGCAATTTCTTAAATTTTAAATCTCTGAAAATTAGTTTTAAATTTTCGAAGATTTAAAATGGGACCAAAAAATAAAATACAAATTTTAGAAAATGCATGTTGAATAATTCATAAGTTCTCGCGACAGATAACTAACTGTTCATTGCAATTTATGCAGGTCACACTTGAATGTCCGCTCATGCATTACTAAATAATATTATCTGTCGTCGTTTTTCCCTACTAATGAATGAGACGCGTTCGTTGATCGCTGTTTGTCAGTTAACGTCGACGAATGATTTGGAAGCTAATTTCGAAGTTGCAAAATGGATGATGAAGCGTGCTAAAGAGCGCAATGCGAAGGTTCAAGCTTCAACATTGACTTTATCCATTTCGAATCTGACTCCTTAAACTTCATTTACTTGTTTTTACCAGTGACTTTGACAGGATAAGATCTGAGGTCTAACTTTATTCCCAGGATACTAGGAAATTGTTACCTGACCAAAGTGACCGGTGAGGCACTCAGTGGAAGAGCTATTCATAAAAAGTGGTGATTCAAGTAAGTTATTTCCTACTAACTTGGTTATCCATATCTGTGGTGTAATGGTGCCTTAGTCCTTTTCAGTTCAAAAGAGCTTATAATTAGTACTGAAAAATTGATAGTTATTTTGACTTGAAATAAGAGTTTTCAAATTTAGATGGTTTTCTTCCCGGAGTGTTTTGATTATGTTGGAGAAAGCCGTGAAGAGAATGAAATGCTGGCTTTGACTGAGAGTGGCGATTATATTGGTCGATATCGAAATTGTGCTAGAGACTATGGACTTTGGCTCAGTTTGGGTGGATTTCACGAAAAGGTTCTAAAAATAGTTTTAAGTCTACTAAATTTGGGTAGTGTTCGGATTTACCGGCGCTTCCTTCTTCTACTAATCTCCAGTCGATTCGTGATTATTTTTAGGATCTCTCTGGATTACGGAAACCTTTCAATACCCACCTTATTATAGATGACAGAGGAGAAACTCGTGGTATTTACAAAAAACTTCATCTGTTCGATTTAGATATTCCTGGAAAAGTGCGATTAATAGAAAGCGAATTTTCAAGCCGTGGAAATGAAGTTGGTTTAATTTTTTTGAGATTCGAAATGTTATATCTCTTCTGTTTCTAGAAATGTTATATCTCTTCTTCAGTTTTAAATTAATTTTAAAGCAGTATTTTAGATTTTGAAGCCAGTTTGTACACCTGTGGGGAATGTTGCTATGTCTATTTGTTACGATTTGCGGTTTGCTGAATTGGCATTGTGGTATCGCATGAATGGAGCTCATATTCTAACATACCCGGCGGCTTTCACTGTTAATACTGGCCTTGCACACTGGGAAGTATGTGTTTGGTGATTTTCAAACAAAAAAATGCTCTATTTTTGTGGTTTTGAATTCGAAGAAGTAAATAAGCCGGTCATTTTCAGCCGAGTGGCCTTTTTTTTTAGGAAATTTCAAGTTTTATGTTTTTTCTAAGTTTGGCGTTTTATTTTTTTAGACCTTATTAAGAGCTAGAGCAATCGAAACACAATGTTACGTTGTCGCTGCTGCTCAGACTGGTAAACATAACGACAAAAGGTCGTCATATGGTCATGCAATGGTTGTTGACCCTTGGGGAACAGTTGTTGCTCAGTGTTCGGATACTATAGGTATTGCTTTAAATCCGTTACATTTGATTCTTTTTCTGTTGTGTGAACTGGATCTTTTGTTTTAGAAGAACTTTAATTTCTAAATTCTATTTATTCTAAGTTGAAGATGTTTTTAAGATATGTGTTTTGCTGAAATAACATTAAATTATCTCAATGAAATACGAAAGCTGCAACCTGTTTTTAATCATCGGCGTTCCGACTTATATTCATTGATAGTGGTGCAGAGGAACAAAATCGGTCAGTATCAGTTCTTTTTAAAATGCATACTTAATTCTTTACTTAAATTTGAAGCTTTTCAATTTTTATAATCCATTTTCAGGGAAGGAAATGTACACATTCGGTAATCACAATATTCCGCCCGAGCACGTTTTTTATCGCAGTACTTACACATTCTGCTTTGTGAATCGAAGACCTGTACTTCCTGGACGTTAGTACTTTTAGTTGATGTGACAAATTCATCTACAATATTTAATATCCTTCACTTTCATAGTGCATTTCATCATTTATCAAGTTTCGACTTCTTGAAAATAATTCCAAAGACCAAAATAGTAAATCGCATCCCATGATAAACCATGATGGTTTTAATATTTATTTTATCCGTACAAATTTTCTCCTCGACAGAAGTAAATAGCAGGTTACGTTTGAAATACTAATTCCTTTCAGATGTGCTATTATGTCCGATCAGAAATGTGAAACGGCTCACTAAATTAAGTCATGCCGAAACTTCCGATTTATTCATAACTGCAAAGAGAATACAGGCAATGCTGGAAAACTACTATAAAGTAACGTCTTCGACTGTTTGTGTTCAAGATGGCCTTGAAGCAGGACAGACTGTTTCAGTAAGTATGGATATCTAATTTTATGTTTTCGGGAATCATTCATTAATCTCATAAGTTAGGGATGAGATTTTTGTTTATCGCTGACTCATTTATCAGCTATAAAATTTTGTAGTAAGAACTTTGCATAAATAATTCTAAATAATTCTATGGTCAGAAAGTTTATTTCAGGACTATTTATTAATAAAATTCATAACTGCAAAGAGAATACAAGCAAACAAATAAGACCAATTAAGCAAGAAAATAGTAACGATTGTATCTTGTAGCACGTACACGTACACATACTTCCGCGCAAGAAAGATGATTTTGGCGGTAATCCGGATAATATTTATCGCGAATTAGCTGAGCATGATAAGACCGAAGAAAAGAAATTCCGGGACAAGGAAGAAATGCAGAATGAAGCCAATGTATACCGCTGTTTGTTGATTACTGAAGAAGTCGAGTGATAATGTGTACGTCGTATGAAAGTATTTGGTCGTGTATTTTCCAGACATTAAAGATAACCAGACGATATTCTTTCAAGCATAACTAGATGATATTAATTGATGTTGTAACAAATCAGCAATTGGAGGTAAATTACATTGATAGGCATAAATAAAGTGTAAAGAAATATGCAGATAAAATCAATATATTTCACACTGAACTTCTATTTAAATAGAATAAATAATAATGAACCTCTGTTTACACAGAGGTTCATTACTATTTCTTTTTTGATCTTTTATTTTTAATTTTTTGCTCTATATTGTTCACTTCATGTTGTAACAAATATTAGGATGAAACGCTGAAATCACGTTAACCGTCCTAATCAGAATATGAGTTCCATTTTGATCCCTCTTTCCTTGCATCCCAAGATTGCAGCTAGTAGCAGAAGTTCGAATTCTTCCATTTATACAGCATGCGATGAAGCGTATGTGCTTCACTCTTGATTTCTATGAAGACCTAAATCTTCCTTTCAATGCATAATAACAATTAGAGCGGCTATAGGGACTTAAAGAAAAATGCAGGGCACTTCTCTGGACTTCGAGATTGAGTTATTAGTTTCCTAGAGTTTTATTACAAGGTATGGTCTTTTGAGTAAGCTCCTTGGTTAGAGGTTTCCCTGTATCATAACAAGTAGTGATTTGTAGAGTGTGGATATGAAGTTCCAAGCTCGGAATGCTGTGTTTGAATTTCGAGAAGTGGATTTGGAACTTTCTATGAATTGACTAGGAATATATAACGTGCAAGGACTTCGTCGCTTATTGGCAGTGGCAGCGTTTAAAATAGTCTGGAAACACAGCGAAATAGACATTCCAAAGGCTTTAAGCAATCCGGTAAGTGCAGTTTTGGCAGACTGAAATCGAGTAATTCAAACAGCTGGTAGAGTAATTTGCAGCTGGATAAAACAGAATGGTTCGACATTTCTCGGGAGAAATATTTTTCCCGAGAAATAAATGTTTGGCGATAACCAGTACCCCCACCATCGAATAATGCTGTACGCCAGTATCTTGGTGATATTGTGTAAGTTTTTTCCCATTTCGAACCTTATAGAAACGACTTAAAGTCGCATTTTTGTAGACTACTTCGTCCATTGCTATTTGACCTGTTTTTTTCTTTTCGTTAATAAATTATATTACATCGGATTTCGAAAATAGCAATGTTTAATTGTTCCATTTATCAAAATTTCGTATATTTGAGTGGTTTTGCTTTGATCGTTTTTCTTAGACCAAAGTTTTCCATTTCATTGCAATTGTTTGGATGCTTTTCTCATTTCTTTGTCAGCAGTTTGATATATTTTAATTTAAAAGTTCAGCTTCCCAAACAACAGTGATTATTTCTTTTTGACTCCTGCTTTTTATTGTTTAATTTTTTCATACTATTTCATATTATTCATACTATTACTATTATTTTTGAATAAAATTCTTGCTTACAGTTCTCTTACGGTGAAAATTTAATTGGAATCTCTTCGAAATAATTTCATTCTCGATTTTTTCATGTATCTTTATTCACGTTGCGGCTTTAGTAGGTCCAATGAAATTGACGTTAAAACTTCTCTTTTCAGGTAATCGTAAAAGGGATGGCATTATGGCGTTGCTTCAAGAGATGTAACAGACGGATACTGCAGGCAGTTGTCTTGGCTTTTTGTTTTATTGGATTTTACACAATTTTTTCTGCACTAAAACTGCCAACGGTGCATCAAAAGAAGCATAGCAGCATAATGGCTGGTGTTTTCATTGGAAACGTTGCTCAGCAGATACAAATTTGTTTGTTTTTTTTTTCGAAAAGAAGAAAAGTATAAGAAAAAATTTACTTATTGAGTATGTTTCAATTCTTATGAAGAAGCCAGAATAACATAAGGTTATGTTCTGGAAAGGAATTCTAAAGTTCTACAATACAAAAAAAAAACAGTTTTTTTATTCACAAAATTCTAGTGGATAGTGGCACAGATCCATTTGCTTCATATAAAAGTTTCGGTAAAAAGGACTGGCATGATTATGAATCAATGGAACGTGATGCAATAAGACAAGGTCCTGGCGAGGGTGGTCTACCGGTAGTAGTAGCATCTGACGAGCCGAAAAAGTTACGGGTTAGCTTTCGAAGTTCTTATTCCAAATTTGTATTATGAAATGGAAATGCGAAAGTCGAGTATACAGGTTAAGTAAATATCATGAGATGAGTAAATGTCACAGGTGCTTTGGAATCCTGAGAACTCTATCAACTTTTATACGAAAATTTTCTAAAAACGTAATATTCTGCAAATCCATTCCATTCTTCTTGCTATTTTTGTGGTTTATAACATTTTTAGAATGATCTTTATCGTGCAAATGGTTATGATGCTTATGTTAGCGACTTGATTGCTTTGGATCGTTCGGTTAAAGATATACGGCATCCTGGGTGCAAGAGTATGGTTTATCTTGAAAAACTGCCCACTGTGGGAGTGGTATTTCCCTTCTATGATGAGGTGTGTTCATTGTCAGGAACAAAAAATTTATTTAATTCTCACTTTTATATGAAGTTAGTTCTCAACCATTTTTATAGCACAATTCCACATTGCTAAGAAGTGTATATTCTGTTATAAATCGTTCTCCAAAAGATATAATGAAGGAAGTTATTCTTGTCGATGATGGAAGCACAAAACCGTCACTGAAAGAACCACTTGAAGAGTTTCTGAAAAAGGCCGGTCTTAATCACGTCGTGAAAGTTATTCGTACGCAGTAAGTTTTTGTAAATTAATTCAGCAAAGTGCTTGAATTCCTCTCAAGCATTTCTATATCTTTTAAAGGATTTTTTGGTTAATTAAGAAAAAGAGAAGGATTGATTCGAGCGCGTCAAGTAGGTGCGCGGCATGTAACTGCCGATGTGATTGTGTTTTTGGATGCACATTCAGAAACAAATTATAACTGGTTGCCACCACTCATCGAACCAATTGCACTTAATTATAAGTAAATTTTTTGACTAATTCAATTGTAAATTTGCAAAGTAACACTGCAAGAAGTTCCGGTTTATAAATTCATGAAATTAAAGCTTCATTGAAAACCTTTGTTTCTCACATTCTTACTTTAAAAAACTTTGACTCACATTCGTAGATATATAATATATTTCCTTTAGGACAGTAGTTTGTCCTTTTATCGATGTTATTGATTGCAATACTTACGAATACCGTGCACAGGATGAGGGGAGCAGAGGTTTGGGATTTTCCTTCTCTTTATGACTTTTTAAAAAAGATTAAACAAGTGGTTGAAACTTCTAACTTTCAGGTTCTTTTGATTGGGAATTCAATTATAAGCGCTTGCCTTTAACAGAAGATAATAGGAAGAATCCAACGCGTCCCTTTCACAGTCCAGTTATGGCTGGTGGATATTTTGCAATCAGTAAGAAATGGTTTTGGGAGTTGGGAGGTTATGATGAGGGGCTTGACATATGGGGCGGTGAACAGTATGAATTATCTTTCAAGGTAGGTTGCAATTTTATTTTGAAACAAAACAGCTTTTGAAATTTCCAATTGTTGCTATATCATTATTCTGTTCATGTCACTGTCAGTTAAGGCAATGGGTGTTACAGTGTTTTTCGGAAACAGTGATATCTTCATTTCCAATACTCAGAAAATAATAATTATTTGAAATCTTCTTAGTTTTCGTTTTGTGCCTGATATGCTGAAACATGTGTTAAGGGCGATAGTATTACCGTTTTAAGTAGACCAAAATGAAATAAAATACTAAAAATCTCTTAAATCGTTTCTTTGAAATTTATGCTTAACTTATTCAGTGGAATGTTGTTAGGTATGGCAATGTCATGGTACAATGGTTGATGCTCCTTGTTCACGAATTGGACACATTTATCGTTGTAAATATGTTCCTTTTCCAAATCCAGGTGTCGGAGATTTCATTTCCAGAAATTATAGAAGGTATGTTTCTGTTCTTTATATCAAGAAGATAACAACAGTAATGCAATGGAATTTAGAATTTATTCATCAACTGAAAAGAATTTTCAGAGTTGCTGAAGTATGGATGGATGAATATGCAAAGTTTTTGTATAAGCGCAGACCACCCTTGCTCACTATTGATTTTGGTATGATGTTGAATACATATCAACCTGAAAGTAAAACTTCCAGTAATTGATTCGTAATAGCTTATTTAGTGACACCAATCAATTATTGGAATCAAATTTGAATTCATTACGGCAAAAAATTTTTAGGTGACCTCAGCAAACAGAAAGCAGTTAGAAAAAGACTTAAATGTAAATCGTTTGACTGGTTCATGAAAGAGATTGCTTTTGATCAGGAAAAGTATTATCCTGCAGTGGAGCCCGAGGATAGTGCTAAAGGTCAAGTAGCGTTCATATTTTTTGCTGTTACCGTTTGAGCAGATTGGTATTTGATCTAAAGTTTCTTAACACTTACACAAATAATTATACAGGTGAACTGCGCAATATTGCAGCGAATAAATGCGTGGATACGCAATTTAAAGATGCCCAAAAAAAGTTTGGTTTACGGAAATGTATCAGTGATGATCCGGTCAATAATGGGGAACAAGTAATATTTCGCTAACTGCAAAACTTTTTTCATTTTTTTTTTCTAACTCACTTCAAAGCATTAGAAATTTGATAAATTTTCAAGAACTTTCGACTTACATTTTGGCGAGACGTACGGCTCGATAAGCGATCAATGTGTTTCGATGTTCCAGTTTCTGTGAACCAAGCGCCTATTGTTTTATTTTCTTGGTAATTTTTAAAATGAATTTCTTATAAGTTTTCATCTTCGAAGTTCTGCTTTTTGAATCTTTCTTAATGAACTCGCAGCGATAGTTGAAGTTATAGAGGATTTATTCTCAACGTTTCAATTCCTTTTTTTAGAAAAGTGATGATGTAGGTTGAAAGTACAATTTTCGATTAAATCTAAAATTCTTTCATCTCAGCCATGGCATGCAAGGTAATCAGCACTTTAAATATCTGCCTGACAAACAACAGATGTATCATCCAATTAGTGGTTTGTGCATGGATTGTGACGTGGATCGAGGAGATATTTTCATGAATCCTTGTGACTCGGAACGACGGAGTCAAAAGTGGGCATGGACGAAAATTAATCTGAAACTGATTGAGGAGCGCAATGAAAAAAAAACATAGACTTAATGGAGAATTCGCAATAGAAAAGATTTGATTTTGATTTATTTCATCATTGGGTTATATATATA